AAAGAAAGAAAGAAAGAAAGAAAGAAAGAAAGAAAGAAAGAAAGAAAGAAAGAAAGAAAGAAAGAAAGAAAGAAAGAAAGAAAGAAAGAAAGAAAATACTTTGGTAAAAATATCACACAATCATGATTTTCGATTGGGTGTTTTATATTTTAGGTACATATGTAAAATATTCAATCACAAGTTTAGGACCTTTCTGCCTCATTCTGGGAATCAAACTCCCTAAAGTAGGAATGTTTAGGTAAACTCTGAACTGGAGGACTGTTGTGCTTTGGAGGAATCGAACCCATTTTCATCCACCGACAAGCAATTACCGCCTGAACTGTAGCCCTTCTTTTTTTTCCTCACCTCTTCCATTTTAATGGTATCATACAGCCCCTGCGGAGCCTCGTCTAACAGGTTATCCCTTTCTGAGTAGGACGGTTTCATTTGGCACACGTTGCGCAGCAGCAGCAGCGCCGGCGCGTAAAGTACGTTCACCAGCCCCATGCCCAGATTCAGCTGGACGAAGCCAAGGTTGTGCACGATCTGCCCGGCCACTATCGGACCCATAGCGTATGCGATCGAATACGAGATATCCGCGATGGCATAAACGCTGCCGTACACGGAGACGTGACGCACGTCAACCAAGAAAGCGAGCGTCGGCAGCAGCGCCGTGTCCACCAGCGCGATGCCGAAACAGATCCCGCACAGCGGGGCGATGAGCTCCCCGAAAGTTTTGCATGCGGGGACCGTGCATGAACTGGCCCCTATGATGACCATACCTAGAGCCCCATAGAACCACTGCAAATGGGGGTTCTTTGCAGCCAGTTTGACTGTAATGTAAACACCAAGGATGTGAGGGAAGAAAGCGGGCAGCCATGTGAGTCCCATCTCCCACTGAGTGGAGTGCATAGTGGTCTCCATCCAGTTGGCGATGGTGGGCTCCAGAAAGGCCAGTGGAATGTTGGCCATGGTGAGCGCACCGGCTACCACGGCGATGTAGGGGTCGATCATGAGTCTGTAGATGGGGGTGCCCACTGGCATGTTCTCTCGTGTCCTGTTGGAAAAGGGCTTAATGACAGTAAGCAGTAGAAAACCATCCACCAGGCAGATGGAGGCGAGCACGATGAAGGGGACCCTCTTCCCGGCGAACTCGTACAGGACCCCCCCGAAGGGAGGCGCAACCAGGCTCCCGAAAGAGATGAACGCCAGAGAGATGCCGAGCGCGCGGCTCCGCTCGGCTTCCTCCGTGTATTTGTCGGCGATCATCGCGAAGCCCGAGGTGTCTGCGAAAGCAGAACCCAGACCCTGGAGGCTTCTGGCCACGAACAGCGTGGCATAGTTTTCAGCGAAGGCGAAAATGCAGGTGGATACGAACATGACGCTCAGCCCGATGAGGAGAGGAATGTCGTATCCAATTCGATCTATGAACGTCCCAGTGAGTGGGTTGACCAGGAGCTGCAGGATGGCTTTAGAGGCGAAAAGGACTCCTATTTGGATGTCCAAGTTATCCTTGTTGATTTTGTCTTCATTTGTGCTGTTGGCTAAAGAAGTGTTGGGGTGCAGCACTAGGTGAACGTGTTCTGACTGCTCGTTCTCCAAATCAGCAAGGTAGTCGGGAATAATTGGCACAATGACCATATAGAGCATATTGTCCAGCAGCAGAGCCACGCAAACAATCACTAATATGATCCGTTTCTGCTGGTGAGGGTCTTTCATCGCGGAGCCCAGCTTCTTGGTCCTCTCACCCATTTCGGATAGTTTTAAGGCAGCTGATTTGGCCAGTCCGAACGATCCTCCTTCTGCATCCATGATGTGCTTTCTTTCTTTATTTCTTCCTCTTTTTTAATGATTAAAAGTTTTTCAATTTTAAAAAAAAAATGTAGTTGTGCTTTCGATATTTCAGCGTCTCGATGTTGTGCTCTCTGTCCTCGCCGCGCCTGTGCGTAAAAGGAGAGGCGCAGAGGAACTTGGCTGCCTCATCGGTGAAGATGTCTTTCTTCAGCTTTCTCCTCTTGTCCTCATGCGATGCACTTTCATGATCTCCCGAGGAGTGACGTGGTTAAAGCAAAGTAATTTATGCAACTTTGCAGATATTTTGTGTTTCTTCACATGGCGAAGTTTTCCAGATGGATTTAGCCACTACTTCCAGCATTTACAGTGATCACCTGTAGTCCATTTCTTCTTGCCACTTTGAGACCGCGGATGACTTGGTGGCCATTGGTGCACTTTAACCCGCAGGTTCTTCGTTATTTTAGTTCTCTTTTCTCCCACCTCCTTTTTTCTCCTAAGCTGTGACGCATCACCAGCTTGCCACCGAGTGGGTCTCTTCACCACTTGCCCTCTTTATGGTAATTCTTCAATCAGTTTAACCAATGAGAGCAAGAGATGACCAGAAACCAAACACAGGCTCAGAAAAGACACTTTCCTGCATCTCTGATTAATTTATGGAAGACTGTATAAATGACATAAAAGAGAGAACGTCATAGAAGATGATTATAAGATAAGGAATTAGAACATT